TCTTGCATTGCAGGTCAAATCGTATGTAGTGCGCTGCGCGACGACGCAGATCGTCCCTCCCGAACGACCGAGAATTTCCTAGGAATCTCCCCGCAGCATAAGCTTCGACTAGAGGGGAAGTCCAGAACCTCTTTTTGAGCGGCGTTGACGTGGTTTTCTCTTCATACTTCGGTAAGCATTAAGATGGCATCTCTTGGCAGAAAAAGTCCGCTGCCAAGTAGAGTTTCCGCTGCGTCACTGGAAACTCTGTTGGTCATCTCGCAAAGCGAGATGCTTCTGGCTGGAGAGGAACGGGGAGGGTTACTCATCAACCCGTTTGCCCCGTTGCCCCGGTGGTTCCCCCAATTCCCTTTTCCTCGGTTTCCTACTTACTCCTTTTTGACACCCACTTTGCCGATCTTTCTGAGTCCCCAAACCGTCACAAACAAGGTTGCGCCGTAAAGCGCAAAGCAGTACCAAAACGACGCCCGGTAACCCTCCAACAACGCCATCGGGCTCTCCTTGTCGGCGAGGTTCGACCGGGCAGTCACGGCACTCGCAATGGCGCCCGATGAAGCCAGCCCTACGCTTTTACCGATTTGGGCAATGGCGTTATATACCCCTCCGGCCACGGCCTGCTTCTTGGCCGGAAACAGCGATGTGATCAGCAGATTAGAGATTGTGAATAACGTGTCAGCGCCAATAGCGTTCATAAACATTGCCCAGAAGACGCAGATCCAATAAGACCACGCGGGGTCAGCGATCGCCATCAATAGCGGCGACAAGCACGCCAGGGCGACGGCGATGAGAATCGCCAGGTCTGCCCGGACGCGGTGGACCACGAGACCGGCGACGATGTTGGCCAGGACTCCGCCCACGGGAGCCGGCAAGAAGCGCACCGATGTGTCGATTGCGGTGAGCCGCTGTACGTATTGGAAGTAAAACGAGCTGAGCTGCTCGGTCGCGTTGAAGGCACCCCATACCATGAAGACACTGATGCAGATGCAAGTGAAGCTGCGGTTCTTCCAGAGTGAGTTTGGAATTATGGCTGGCTTACCCAAGCGCTCTTGTCTTTCTACCCAGGCAACGAACCCGCCGATTAGCACGGCAGAGATAGCGAGCAGCGCGATATTCTCTGGTTTCTTGATATCCTGAGTGCTGTCGGTGATCGCACTGTCAACGTCCTATTAGTTGATCTCGCTCTCCAAGCAGAGGGCGCATGGCAGACTCACGCAAGCACATAAGAGACCATTGAGAGGAAGGCACTGGCTAGGAATGCTCCAACCCAGTCAACCTCGGTCCTGAACCTGTGCCAAGTGACCGGATCTCTCTTGCCGATGCCAGGCAACCACTTCAGCGCAATAATGAAGATGATTGTGTTGATGATTGCGGCGATGTGGAATCCCCATCTCCAGCCAATCGTATCTGTGAACACACCACCAACACTGAGGCCAACAGAGAACCCAATTGGTTGGCCTCCGCCCATTGATGCAAAGGCAATGTTTCTTCTCTTGCCCGTGGGGAACGCGTGCGTTATGATACTAACGGCGGATGGGAGGCACATGGAGATGGCAATTCCGGCAAAGGCACGGAACATGATGAGCTGGATCCCCGTGTTCGCCAGCCCACAGGCAAGGGTGAAGACCGATTGCAAGAAACATCCCAAAAGATATAGTGTTCGAGCACCGTAGAGATCGGCCATGGCGCCAGACAGCAGGAGTGTGCATCCGCAGGTCAGGGCGTAAACAGAGGCAGGCCTTGTTACTATCAGAATGAGTGTACAACGACATGGGTCTTTTAGCATTAGTCCCTACCATAAGAGAAGGTTGCCATCAAGATGAACATCTCGAGCCATGGCCGGAATGCAAACAGTAACTATGCCGGCCAGAAGGGAGCTAATGCCTGTAATACAGGTCACTGAGGAGATGACAACCATGGTTTTACCCTTTGAAAGGTCGCCATTTTGACCATTCTCGGGGAAAACAGTAGTCGGGTCCAGCGACTGCGATAATGTTGATGTGGAAGCTGAGAGTTGTGGCAGTGGTGTTGCTGGTGCGTTGACCAGCTCCACTGTGGTCGTGGTCGACATCGTGAGTTTCTAGTTTGGTGGTTGGTGACTTATGGCCTTGAACCACCAAGCAGGCAGGCTGCACTCTTCACTTATTCAACTGTGGACTGAACAGAAACAATGGGGATACTGTCTTTTCAGAGGGAGTACTACGTACAGGGCGCAGAAGACGCATTTTCATTATGCAATTGCGCAAATTTTTGACCAACCTGCCCGATCTCGGCCGAAGTGGACGGACCACCGAGTTGGCCCATTTTCGGGGAGGTAATAACATAATAACATTACACCGTTCGAAATTTCTTGAGTCGCCATGACTAATGGTCACAGTCGAAATAACCACCAAGGTAGATTGGTATTTCTATTGGTGTTCACGGAGTAGAGATGCCTGAGTCTTGCTGGGAATGCAGCGACTCCAAAGGGGGTTGATTGATTTTGGGGGTCAATGGGATGAGATAGTATCGCGCCATTATATTAGTAAACTCCTCGGGACCAAAATAACCCAATCTTTATAGTCATGTCTCGTAAAACTAGGTCGTTAAACAGGCATAAACATCCATCTCGAGACCTGCCTGCTTTCCTAATACACTTTCCCACGGTTGGAGATTTTTACAAACATTTCAGCATCCGAAGGCTGGAATTCAAAGTTCCGAATGAGCTGCATAGGATTAGCACAAGCAGCCGTACCATGCAATTAGATCACGATGAATTGCTCACCTGGACAAATATCTTGTTCAATTCCAAGAAAGCGACAGACTTGCCTGTGCATCGCCATCGGCCAGCGCCAAACACGAGCTCAGTCTGTTGCTTCCACAACTTCACCGTCTCAGCATCGGCCTCAAGCCATCGCTCAGGCCGGAATACCTCAGCATCTTGGCCAAAGAGTCTCTTGTCGTGGGTCGCCGACGTCACGTCGTGCCCAATTCTGGTGCCTGCAGGCAGCTTGATACCATTATAGATATCGCCCCCGGGCCCAACCTGCTTCATTACCAGACCAGCAAAAGGGGGTTTCACACGGAGGGACTCGTATATGATTGCCTATTTTCGACAATGATTAGTAGACGGTTTCAAGGTAAACTGAACAGACCGGCTCTTCCTACTCTGACTTACTTGAAGATATGGCAGTTCCTGAGCTTCTTTATATGTGATGGGGTCTGATATCCTTCCCTCTGAGACTGCGTCCTCAACCTCCTTTATAAGAGACTCATACACAGAGAGGTCAGAAAGGATATAGAGCATCGTCCATTTTATGGCCTTTGCTGCTGTGTCAGAGCCAGCAACCATCGGGAACATGATTTCGGACTGTGCTGAGCGCTGATCAAGGCCGCGACGTATGAATGACCCCTGTCGAGTTCGCGTTAGTGGACTACATAAGTCTCTTTAGGCCATCTTAAAGCAGTTGATAACTTACAAGTAAGTCAGGCTCATCCTTCCCGTCAGGACCAAATCGAGCGGCAACGTGTTCTTTGGCAAGTCTGTCCACATTAGTTTTGTTATTCTAGCAAAGGCGACGGGATAAAATATGCATAGCAAATACAAAGGACTTACCCCATGATCTTTCCAAAGCCATTCTTATCTGTAGTCTTGGGGCCAAGAAGCCGTAGAGCAATATCCGATGTAAAAATGTGTTGGAGCGGCGGAATGTCCGTGAAGAACTGCAAAATGTCTATGGCCAAGTTTGACATAGCAACCAACCCAAAGACGTCTGAATTCTTCCGAAGAAGCCCAAGGGGCTGTCCAAACGACATCCTCGAGCGAGCATCCATAGCATAGTAGTGCGCCAGTCGACCAAAGTCAACAGACTTCTGCGCTGGAAGCCCTTTACTCTCTGCATTTTCTGCTCCCAGCGGAGAGAGCTTGGTGGCATAACTTTCTCGAATCAAGCTCACCAAATCCGATATACCAGAATCAATGCTGGCTTCTAACCCAGGAATATCTTTGCCTTGGTATCCCGGTTGAAGCTTTGTTCTCAAGGCATGATGGACAGACTTATCGAGTACGCTGCCCATCATATCGTGATATGGGTCCAGCCGGGTGGCTTTGTACCAGCTGCTCCGCCCATAAGTTGACTTGGCCGCCGACATGCGCCTGATGAGTTGTACATCAGACGTAATCAAGTCATTGGGGCCAATGCGGACAAGCTCGCCATATTTTGTCGATAGGTTAACGTACTCTAGGTACCCTCGAGAGCCTCGAGTGCGGATCCGAAACATAGACCAATAAGATAGGGAAGAGAGAAAAGGGCCAGGGATATGCGATAAACGAAACCATGATCTCAAGGTGGTGATACCCAAGTACACCGCAACTATGAGACCGAGGAATTGGCCAAGCGGTGTCCAAGGTAACGTAATTACGGACTGATACAGTAGAGGAAGCATTTTGTCGATATAAAATTGTCAAGGACGACTCGAAATGAGAAGCGGGGATGCCTTCCGATTGAAGAAGACGAATACAGAGTTTAGGCATCACTTTAGAACTTGCTATAAAGCAGGCAGAAAAATCAATATTTCCAGTCCATTTTGGTACCCCTTGTAACCCAACACCCATGATAATATTGAAGGAGTGGATATCGCGATTATCCAGGGCTAGACCGGCTTACGCCGAGCTAGCGCGCTGCGTCGCTGACCGTAAGCTCGCACCGACAACCTATGATAAGACGAGCTGAGAACTATTAGTGTGATGGGGATGCATTGATTCCTTCCTTCCGCATACCGTGGGGCGTCATGTCTGCAAGATGGATGATTTGAGGCAGCCAATATGCCCCTTTGCGGCGGTGAAGAGACGGGGTCCATTCCGTGTATCCGTACTGATCAATGATATTCAGGCTGTATGACTCGGGGTGGCTCCTCTTCAAACGACAAAGACTTGAAAAGATACAGTGGGCCTTATCCCCTCCACTGGTTGGTGAACTCGGACTTTGATCAGCATCACAGACTGCAGCCTTTGTGATAGCAATATGCTTCAACCACCGATGGTAGTCCAGACCGATCAACTTGATCAAGGCGCGGATCTTCGGCAAACGCTGTCATGTCTGATCCCCACGTTTCTGAATGCCATCAACTACGCGTCGCCTCCAGAAGTTGACAAGAAAGCATTGAGGATAGCTCTCCTCGACAGAGCTCTCCGGTGCGGTGTCCATCTCGAAGCCGACGATGCCTCGCAAATGCGATTCGAGGCCGGACTAGCTGTCGCTGCCGTAGGCTCTACATTAACGTGCTCCCCTTGACACTTCTGAACTCTCTCGATAGGAAATGTATCCTCTCCACCCCCTCGAAATCCAGATCCACATCGGTCTCTTTACCTGGTACGGCTTCATCATCGACGACAAGAACGTCGAGCTAGGGCCAGACCTAGAACAATTCCAGACACGGCTTCTGATGGGAGAACAGCAGCCCTCGGCACTTTTACAGGCTTTTGCCGAAGTGCTCAAGTCGACAAAGAAGTACTACGACCCAATAGTCGCCAACTTAATCGTGCTATCCGCTCTAGCCTTTGTCAACTCCAACGCTATTGAGATCCGGCCGCAGTACCACACAATCGTCCTATCAAAAGAAACAGTCAGCTGGCCCTACTATTTTCGAGATAAAGAGGGCCTTCCAGAGGTGTATACCTATTTCTGCTTCTACAAGGAGACATGTCCGGATATCGCGTGCTTCCTGCCGGCTGCGCCCGAGATGGGCAAGTTTATCAACCTGACCAATGACATATTATCGTAAGTGCTCGTCCCTTCACTTGTGATGACCAAAAAGCAACTAGAATCTTAACATGGAATTGCAGATTTTACAAGGAGGAAAAGGCAGGTGAAATCAGGAACTATATCCACAAACAAGCCTTGAGTCTAAGCCAAAGTCCCTTGTCTATACTAGAATCCGCCATTCTGGAAACCGTAGTTGCGTACAATCGGTCCAGGGCAATTCTGAAGAACAGTCATCCGTACGAGGGCATATGGCACGCTTACGCCATGGGATATGTAGCTATGCACTTGAATACCCGGCGCTACTACCTTTCTGAGATAGTACTGTAGATTTCTCTGCCGCCTAATAAACCTTTCTTCAATTCAAAGTATAGCATACTGTATAGATAGTCATGTTCTCCACAAATGACAACTGAATAACTTTCTATACTGGAGTTTCGTTTAGCACCAGGCACAAATCCCCGGCGCCATGGTGCCAAGTAACGTCGGACTGGCTGCGGGTGTTCGGCTCTTACAGGATCCCGATCTTCGCCCCCGGGCCCCTGCAGCCGTCGCTGTCCATATCGAGACCGGAACCGAAAGCGGGCGTGCACGCGTCGGGATGCGTCTGGGTTTCCACACCTGTTATTATTCGCGCGATGACGTGCGAACTGCATTTCGTGGGTGATTTCTCATTGTTGATGGCGTTCTCCGAGGCACGCTAAGATGATGTGCAAAATATACTGTTGAGGACTTGGTAGATAAGACTTCCAAGCAAAAGGGGCCCAAACGAAATTTTGAGATGGGATCTCAGCCCTCAGCTCTTTACCTTCCCCCAGATAACTGGTAGTAAAGAGAGAACGGCTTTGTTTGAACGATTTCCAATTGTCCGATTCACATATAAACTGCAGAGTCATTCCTGGGTTACATCTCGGAGTGAACATGTTTCCTCGAGATGTCGGAGGAGCGACAGAGCATATCTGCCTTCGCAGACTTTGATAGTGACGAGAGTTGGTTCGTTCCAGCTGAGGCCGCAATGTCATGGTCGCATCCATTTCAATCGACAACGTCGTGAAGAGATTGTCTGAAATTGAGTACTTCTCTCTTGGTGGTCCCTGGGATATCCTTTCTACAAGACAAGATAGATACGCCAGTCCCAATGCTGCAAGTATTTGTACATTATTACACATCTTTATACACTCTCAACCGCCTCCCGCGTAGGGAAAGCCATCAGAGCCCAGACGGAAGCGGTCCAATGCCCTCCCCTCTCAAGCCAACCCAACACCCCTCAAAGCCCTCATCTTTACGCCCTCCCAGCTATTCAGCTTCGGCCTCACGTCCAGGTAGAAGCTGGGCTTGCCGCGTGCGTCGGGGCGTCCGGCGTAGAAGTCAATGACGTACTCGACCTGTACGCCGCAGCGGTCGACGACCCAGTCGTGGCGGTCAAAGGGCGGGGTGTAGCCCAGCAGGGTATTCACGCGCGCCTTGGGGGACATGTTTGTGCTGAGGCCGAGGAAAGAGTGTAGTTTGGGGCCGTCGCAGCTATGGGCTTGTGTTAGGTCTCTTCTACTTCGTTCTTTGATGGTGGACGGGCTGGATTGAATCCAGAACCATGGTAGGAGACATGACTTACGCTGTGCCTTCGAGGTAAGGCGCCTCCCACTCTTTAATTTCCTTCCACGCCCTCTCGTTGACGGCGTTGTGAATCGGCACCACGGTCGCCATGTCTTGCGCGCGGGTATCGTGGCCCTTGCGCTTCATGGCGTCAAAGAACATCTTTTGGGAAGGGTATATCCAGTTCCCCGTCGCCTCGTCCGAGCCCGTTTCCTGCTCGTGGTTGGAGGGGCGGCTGGTGCCCGGGTACGCTGACGTCGCAGTCCTAGGAATCGTCGAGACTTCGCGCTCGGTGTCGAGGCCTGATTTGGCGGGTGTGGATGGTGGGAGGTCTGGTGTGTTTGATTGTGCGGTTGTTACTGGTGAGGTGAAGGGGATGTAGGACTTTAGGGACTGCGCCCATGATTGCGAGGGCTGTGGTGATGATGGCGCGGCTTCGAGAGTGTGGTGGGGGTGTGGTGTGTGAGGATTTGAGGAACCGTTCGCGGCGGAGGCGGTGCGGGCTTGTTCGAGCCAGGCCTCGCGGGATTTGTGGTCTACGGGACAGACTTCAGCGGCGGCATCGGCGGAGGCGGCGGGAGCTTGTGTCGCGGGGGCGTTCGTAGATGTTGGCGGCGGCGCCGAGGAAGAGGAGAAGGGTGTCAGAGACAGTAGAGACTGCGTCCAGGACGATGATGACTGCGCATCCTGGGACTGTGGTGACCCTGCCTGGGTCGGGGGTATCGGGTGCGGCGGGTGAGGAGGTTGCGCAGCGTCTGGGTTCGCGGCGCGGGCGTGCTGGAGCCAGGCTTCGCGGGCCTTGTGGTCGACGGGGCACGTCTCGGGTGCGGCGCCGTTGCTGGAGTCTGACATTGTGTGGTGAGGATGGTCTTCGTAGTCGATTGCGACGGAGGAGGATATGGTAGCTGCTGAAGGTTGGAAGCGGGTTAGGAAAACGAGGTCTACGAGATCGGCGTTCATTGTGGAGGTTTGGTATGTAGTTGAGTAAAGGTTGTATGGTTCATACCAGTCAGAGATATCCAGGAATGAAAGCCCTCGAAGAACGAAGGGGCAAAGGGATCTGATCCTTTATGAACCCCTCGATAGGTTTGGCGGCTTGACAGGTAACCAGATGCGGGACGGGGGCCTAGATCCAGAACCCGGGGATAGGGTTGCAGTGGTGTTTCTTTCTTTGTTTGTCTAGATCTTGGGGCGTCGTAGCTGGGAGGGGTCTTGCGACGGGAACCGCATTGAATGTCTGCGTTGGCGCAGCTGAAAGCCCAAGGGAGAGGGCGCGTTCGTTTCGTTGGTTCTTGGCTGGTTTCGTGAAGGGGGTTGATTCACGATTCCGCGACGAACGAGCGGGATGCAACGACTTTTTAGGTGGAGACTTTTCCTGTTTGTGTCTTCCATGCGCATCTGTTAATTTTTATTTTGGGATGATGTGATTGACGCCGTTTGATTGGGCGGTTAGATGATGGGACTGTCTGTCGGGTGCTTCCGATGACGCCGGGATGGCCACGGTCCACGGAAGCTCTGGCGGATTGATGTGTCAGCAAAATCCCGAGCTGCTGGATCCACGATCCGATATTCCACCGACAACCTGTGGCTCAAGCTATCAATATGTGGCTGGTGCTTCTAGAGATCGCCTCAGTCAAGCCTGTTGATGCTATCCCTAGGATTTCTGCCTCGGTGAGCTTTAGTGCTTACTACCACGTGCTACTACGTAGATATCTCTCTACTTAGCATGATCTGTTGATGAAAAGAAAGTCGGAATAGATTCGTGCCGTCAGACTACCTTTAAATCTAATTATATTGCTCTCAGATGCCTTGGGTAAAGTCAAAATGCAAGCAACCATGTCGCGCCAGTTCAGACTCCCCCATCTATTCCCGCTATTCGTCGCAATCGCCCACACCCTCGGCGGCATCGTCCCATTCTTCGCCCAAGATGCTGGAATTCGTTCCTTCGGGCTGCCAGAAAGATTCGCAGAGTCACCCATAGCACAGTCGTGCTTCATCCTCGACGGCGCCCGCCTATCTATCCTAGGGATGGTCCAGCTAATCATGTATCTTCGCGGGGACTACGTGGGGGTAGACATCGTCATGGCTTTACTGGTGTACGTTGGGCTCGTTGACGGGTACGTTTGCTGGCGGGAGGGTGAGCTGGGATCAGCTATGTTTAGAGCCACGTCGGGGATTGTTATTGGGGCATGGGGTATGTTGGGATTGACTTCCAAGCTGTAAATTGTTTGAGATTACCTGTATTTCTCAGAAGGAAAGGTAGAAGAATCTGATTTAGATATACGATGTAAGTACCTGCAAGACGATATTTCCTCCAAGGCGGACCGAATTCCAGGGACATCTAGTTGTACATTTGCTCCTGTGAGTGGCTATAGCCATTATTCACATGTGTTTCTTTCATCTGATTGTCTTCCATAGACCATGAGAGCCTCATAGTTGAAGCAACCGCAAAGCGGTACTTGATATCATTGAGATTCATAAAATCATTGTACATCTAGACATGTACGGGTGCCATTCTGCACGGACCAGCAACCGACGTCAAGCCTCGGACACAGGTCACATCGCAAAAAATCGGTGGCTGAGGCTCCAAGCTCGGGTGGACGCTGGCAAGTCGGCTACCTCGGGAATTGACGGAAGCGGGTAGCTCAAGCCTCCAGGAATCTATCGGATGATTTTTACGTCCAAGCTGCGTTTTTTGCTTAGGTGCCCAGTAGCTAACCTTAGGATACCTAGTTATAACACCTGCATGTGCCTAGAGAAACAGACCAGAACTTCCCCATGGGCCAAGGGAAATCAAACGTGGCACGATTTCCCCAAGCTGTTCCCGGAGCTACGGACGCAGGGTGCGCGTTTCTCCAAAGCTGCGGGAGAGAGAGCCTATCACATGCAGGCCAACTAGGTGGTAAGCTGCGCCTGCTAAGCATTGGCTCGTAGTTCCGAAAGACGGTTACATTACATTAGCTGCAGGTGCTTCACATAGACTCTGAATAGTCTCAGGGAAGCATCATCACATGGGATTGAATTCAATGAAGCTCGGCTCGGCACAGATGATCACGAATAGAGTTCGGAAGATGTTGAAGTAAACTTGCTTTTATGCACGGGGTCTGTTGGTGTGTGTGACGAGTCTAGACTATCGGTACAGGATCCTGACGTCGACGGTAAAAGGAAAAGTTCAAGACTAGGTATAGAAAAAGGCCAAAGCAAGAGACAGGTCTTTGATGCCTGTGTCCGCTTGGGTGTTGGATGAACTCCCAGTAGAAACTCCCATAGTATCCCAGCAAAGCTTCTTACTTGACGGATGGGAATCGCTTCCATTGTAATGGATATCACGAAGCCGCCATAGTAAATCGCTTTTGTAACTTTTCCCTAGCCGTTGGTCACGAGCGTGCCGTGACGAATCAATATTGCCGACTGTTCCGTGTCCTGCCGAAGGCCCCAATCCCGGGAGCTTTTGTGGTCGACGGTCTACGCGGAGGGTGGGATGTCCACCGTCGCTGTAATCTCGTCCTTTCGTACACACGTGTTGTCATCGCCTACTTTTGTGAACCTCGCCAACTCTCCACCCCGTTCCGTCTCTTCCTCGTCTCCGCGCCATCATCGCTCATTTTTTCGTAGTCCAGCCCGCGGATGTCATGGTAAATAATGTCTCCCTTAACCGTGAGGTCACAAGGGCGCGTTCCGTTTTCCGTTCGTCGTTCCGACATCACACTCAGCCGAAGAGGGCAGCGCCGCCGGACTCGACAGCCTCAATCTCAGCCATGTCGAGGGGCTGGCGGCGGAAACGGGCAGGGAGCTCGGAGCGGTCGAAAGCGACGCCAGAGGGGGGAACGACGGAGCCGAGCTGGTGGCCGGTAGAGCCGCCTACGCCGGAGCCGATGGTGCGCTGGAGGGGACCGTGCTGCTGGGCGTGGTCGCGGTAGGAGCTGAAGCTGGTGTGCTTGGGGGAGGCGGAGCCGTTGCCAAAGTTGGCGGGAAGCTTGCCGGTGGGCGAAGCTGGGTGAGGCGCGGGGCTGTGGTCGATGGAAGCTGGTGAGGTCTTGTTAGTATCGTGGGAACGGGACGTTGGTGAGGACTTCAGGTAGAGCAGACGTACAAGGAATGGAGCGGCGGCCAAGGAACTTGATGCTCGGGGTACGCTCGGCGTGAGCGGCGGCCTGGCGGAGGACTCTGGTAGCGAACATTTTGAGGGTATGAAAAATGAGTCGAGTGGAAAAGGTCTCGAAAGATATGCTGGAGTGGTGATTCCGAAAGGGTCCGAAGCTCGTTCGTTGGTGTGGGCGGTGGTGGACCGAAGTGTGTAGGAGGGAAAAAGAAGTTTGGTGGTTGAGCTCTCCTCCTCGCCTGTGATGATAAAGCTGGGGTGTGTGCGGTACGCGCTAGCGACGGGTATCAAGGGTGGTTATAAACTTTTGGGTGCCTGTGGCTTTTTGTGTATTTGACGGAAATGCAATTGGGGTGTCTGGCGGGTGGCAGAACTTTATCAGCAGGGAGGAGAGCGATTTGGTCGGTTTTGGTGTTGAAGGAGGGAAGAAAATGAAGAGGTGAGAAGAAGGAGGAACCAAAGGCGGGAAGGCTGATGTGGAAGGCAGACACGTCTTATTTCAGTAATCAGCACTGCACGCTGCACAGAGGTATGGGGAATTTTCTTCACAGGCCGAGAGACACCGCGCCGCCTCCGCCGCCGGCCGTGCCCGCCTGCTTCTGAGGTACCTCCACCATCCTGGCGGCGGCGTCTGGCGCTCTCTCACACACTCTCTACGCAGCAGTGGTAGGTTTTTTTCTTCTTTTTTTCCCTCCTCCAAGGTTCCATTCTGTGTTACAACGCTCGGTTGGGGGTTAGCTGGTGGGTTCACTGGGTTGGGTGTCGCTGCACGGCCTGCTCACCTCAGCCAGATGGGCGGCTTCGGGAGGAAAGGCGACAGGGAACGGACAGGGAGGCAGGGGATGGCAGGCCGAGCTAGCGGTGCACGCTGCAATGTGCATGGTGCCATGGTGGTAATGGGTGGTGGAGGTGGAGGGAGAGGAGCACAGGAGCACAGGATGAAGGCTGCAACGGAGGAGGGGAACAGACGATGGGGGTGAATCTTGTTCTCATGTCTTAGCGCGCCAGCCCCGAAACCCGAACCTCGGGCTGTGATTCCCGTCATCAAACAAGTCGTGGAGTTTCTAGAGACTCTGGATGTGGTGTCCAGAGTTGCAAGCCCCGAGGAGACTCTCGGTTCGGCTGAGGAAAAGTTGCCATTGTCTCTTGGAAGTTGCAGTCCAGGCGAGGTTTGCTACATGATCAGAATCAACAACGTCTTCTCTTTCTCCCACATCTTTATGCTATGGGCAATAGTTGAGCAGGAACATGGAGCTCCTCATGGGCTCTTGGGCTGTCATTCTCACGCAACTCGACCCAACTCGACTCAGTGACATTCGAAATCTTACAAACCTCCATTTCTAACAATCGTCTAATGTGCTCCTCCCCCGTTTCAGGCAATCTCCACAAACCCCAAGCGTCCTGGCTCGCGTCCCCAAGTTCCAACGTCGGACCGACCACGCCATTCCCAGACCACCTGCGAGCGACCTGCATAGGTATTGGACAATGAGACGCCGTCCACATTTGGGAACCCCGAACGCGTGGGAATCCAGCCGTCCCCGATCCCTTCCTTGTTGTCGGTCTTTGACTTGGGTCTATCCAGTCTCCAAAATATCCCAACTCAATGACAATGATCTGTCTAGGACTCCAGATTCCAGAGCCTAGAGGTGTTCACTCTTCAACGAACAACTGCCCCTCCTCGTCGTCACCCCTCCGCTCTTCCGTCGAGTCGGAGCCCAGTAATTAATCACTCTGTTAACTAAAGTCTAACTAGTGTTAGTTCTCCGCCCTGAGTAGCCCTGACCGGTGACAGGACCTCAGTGACAGGCCACCGCCGCCGCCGCCGCCAACCAGCGGACAGCCAGCCAGTCGCCGTAATGCGGGACACATTGATTTTACACGTGAATTGCACCTTATCTCTGAGCTCCCGCGTCATGGCACCGGCATCGAACCATTTTCCCCTCCTCCACCCATGCGAAAAAGTCTCCATGTCCCCATCGTACAGAGACAACGGGGACCAAAGTCCACACACACTAAATTCAAGAGTCGGATATCCGTATTCAGAATGTGAAAAACACACCGTCTCAGCCTTTTGGGGTATGTGTTTGCAATTTCGTCTCTTGTGCTCAAAACCGTTTCTTGGCGGCGGCAACTTTCATATCTGCTGTAAGGAGTATCCTTTGTCTAGCTAGACTCTACCTAGATTACGGATACTTGACGGGGCCGACGAGGAATCCCACTCATCGAACAGACATTGTCAGAACCGCAGCATCGCAAACCCGCTCTCTTCTGAGCCAAGCAAAATGTCAATCTGCATTTCGGCATACCACCTCACCTAGGGCAATAAGCTCTCGAGGTCTGCCAAGACACATTTTCGTCCGACCTTTTGTGCGAGCGAAACCGAGCTCCAGTGGTCACCCTTGAACTTCCCCAGACTTCTGGCACAAGCCCAAGATCTGGAGATTAGACTTTTTTGCGACTCTGCAGTGTCTCTCCTGCTCTCCAATGTTTGTACAGTACACTGTCTTGACTGTCACTGTAACATGCTACCAAACCCCCAGGGCACTCTGCCGCGAGTGACAACAACTGCCGCGGTGTCCGGCGGTGTCCCGCGGTGCGGCGGTCGGTGTTCGGGATTTTTAGCCTAGTGGTAGCTGTAGCCTGTAAGGCCTGCTTGGGACTCGGGAGATCAGTGATCAACATGGCGCGGGGAAAGGGAAGGGGGAAGGGAAGGGATGGTGATGCGACGACCCCAAGGGCCCAAACCCATTGGCGAATTAGCAGTATTATCAATCAACTGAAAGCGCCGGGGAACGGTTCGCGAGGACAAAATGTCACATCCGGGGGAACCGGCGATACGCGATACTTTGGGGAAAACTGAGTGAACAAGACGAGGAAGGCAACTGTTCAGCAAGGAATACGCAGTCCTCCTCCATGCTTCCCGATCCCGGTCCATCCACACCGCAACACCCACGAAACCTCTTCACGCCCAAAAGGGACAGGACTCGCAGTGTACGAGAGTCTCATCGACGGAGATGGGCGCTCTGCATCGAACGATCCTGCGGGCGACCGGGACATGATCTTGAACCAGCCAGTGGGCACGAAACCGCGACCGAGACACAACTTCTTCGCTTCTCTTCAGGCAGAGCACGCGAGCAACAGAAAGAGAGGGTGTCCTCGTCAAGGAGACTTGGTCTCGCTGATGTGCGAGCTCTCTGCCGGTCGTCACATCTGTACGGAGTACATCTGCCTCCCCCGGGCAGTTTTTGCCCAACACGGCAAACCCTTCCCACCGGATCTAAGCAAGCCCACCTCCAACTTAAGTCCAGCAAGCCGGACAAACCACAGCGAAGCCAGGAGTGACAGACAGACAGCACTGTTTAACTCCATCGTTTTGCATTACTAGAGGATTGCCGCAGTACATATAAACACTACCCTACCCTCGAATTCCGTACTATTTAACCTTAACCCTTTTTATAAATTACTTATCCTTTCCTCTATTCTACCCTCTCCTTTATTAAAAAATCGCTAAAATTATAGTTTTAATAGTTTATTAATAAGCTAATATTACTATTTAAAAATAAATAACTTATATTTATATATAAATATTAAAAATCTTATTATTATAAAAATAATAATAAATATATTAAAATATTTAAAAGAGCTTTTTAATAAATTTTTAATATTATTTAAAATTATAATCCTTAAGTTATAAAAAAAAGCTAAAGTATTATATTAATACGGCCTTATCCGTCTTATTAGTATTAATAATAGTTTTTTTAAAATAAAATATATTATTAATATTCTATAGCTATATTATTATTTTTTATAAATTATATTTAATATAAATAAGGATTTTAGTATTATTTTTTAATTCGTTTCTTAGTTTTTTTATTAAGGCCGTTATTATAAAGTTAGTTTAGTTATTAATATTTTAATAAGTATTTTAACTTAATTTAGAAGCTCTTATAGCCCTTAAAAAGAGGTTTTTAAAGGACTTATAATTAAACTTTTTATTTATTATAAATAAAGTTATTATAATTAAAATTATAATATTATAAACTTTAATAATAAGTAGTTAGTAATATAATTATCTTTTTTTTATAATAAGCTTAAAAAAATATTTTAATTTAAGTACTAAGTAAGTACTATACTATTTTATTAAAACTATATTTTTATACTTATAACTTAGAAAGAATTAACTTTTTTCGATAACAAGGTACTTAGATAGATAGACAGAACAGCTCCAAGTTCAAACCCCCACGGCACGGACGCTGGGGGAGGAGAGGTGAGGTTGCAGTAGACGGCCAGCAGAGTGGAACTGGGATCCCGGGCCCTGCATTGCATTGCATCAGCGCCGCTTGTGCGTGCGGCGCGCTGCTCTGTGTGCCTGTGTGGGAGTCCGTCTGCCCTTCCCGCCGGGGCCCTGGCCGGTTTGGAAGGGTTCTGGGTGGTTACCGGGCCGGCTAACGAGGTAAGACGGCGCGAATTGCAAGCCGCTGGGCACGTTTTTTCCCTTTCTTGGTGGGTTTTGGTCTCTTTGGGTTGCTTGTCTGTTACTAGTGTTGCCTCGACTAGAATTACCTTCTACAATGGGCGGCTACTGTGAATTTTTAGCGTCTGTAGCTCTCTTGTGCATAGGAGAAGACGCTCAGCTCCGGTTCTTGCTACTTTTTCTTTCGGTACTGTCCTGTGCAGGATTTCTTGATCAAGAGCCTTTCCTGAATTGCGTCTTGTGGATAGGGCTAGCTTTCCACCATCAGTGAACTGCCCGGACTTCTCTCTCTGCCAATGTCTCCATGATCCATCTCCCCCTCCGACCGATGACGTGCTCCCGAGATTAAAACGTCTATTCCCCCCTGCCTGCCGTCTTCAAGAACCGAAAGCCGGGTGTCGAACCATTCCCGGCGCGAATCGCGCTGTGGGATTGCCACTCACTATATCCGTAGCAGTCCATCCCGATCCCGGTTGTACACAATAGCACACGGAGCACCCGCCGCACCGGAGGTGTAGACGTCTACTACGCAGCATGATGGTCCGATAACGGCGGCGCGGCTATAGTATGCCAATTAACTTGATTTGCAAGGCAAGGCGGAGCGCGGAGCCCCCAAAGACACTGCACACAATGCGGCGATTCGTGCGGCTAGGGAAAAGAATTCTGGAGGGTCCGCTTCAGGAAATGGGAAACGCTGAACCTAGTCCCCTGTCGCGCTTCGGGCTGCCTTTCCTTTTTTCCCTCTTGTCTAGTGGCCTGAATTGGGCAGGCTGCGATGCGATCGGAGCCGAATTGATCTACATGTCTCCGTTCTGGGGAAGATGATCCTCGGGATCTGTTTCCCGTATTGTCGCTGTCGCTGTTTCGAATTTGGAACTGCTTCATCCCGATTTGGTGTTCAATTCCCATACTCCATGAGGACATGGTGCAGTCGTTGTTGTTGCTAACTTGCTGCGAACGCCTTTCTGCCTCGACCAGCTCCGTAATGGAAGTATGTTGCTGGAAATGCACAATGATGTCGGGTTTCGGACATGACCTGGTACGGTCTTCATTCTATTCGACATGGCAAAGGAAGAACAAGAAAGGAAAGGTCGGACAGCCTAAGAAACTTCGAGTAAAGATTGCAACTCAAGGTCACAATACTTGCATCCTCCTTCTCACCATTGTTCATCAGCCAGACAGCCCTTTACTTGGTTGTTGTGACATCAGTTTCCATCGCAAACAAAGTCCAGTGTACATCGAATTGAGTTGTTCGCAAAAGTGACTGCCTCAGATCGGGAAGAGGGTCACAGGTATCATCAATCATACATCATGAATGTCATCCATCCCAAACACCTAGTTTCCCTTGAGCCAACCATTGTCTCAGCCATTGTCCCTTTGTATATTCCATCAGACTACAGCTCCTTCTTGTCTTCGAAGCCAATGCTGATACGCGGAGCAAAGGCGTCTAGGTTGGGCTCGTTGACATCCCAGCCCGCCTGCTCAAGTGCCTTAGAGTCCAACTTCTCGTTACTTCCGCCCATCTCGATCTCGTCCACGGGAATAGCGCCGTGGAGTAGCTTCTGACTGCCAGTCTTCGAAGCCAAAGTTCTGTCGTGGGCGAGCATGGTGGCGTAGTACCATGCCATGAGGGTGTCGATGTCGTTCGCCTCCGTGGGGGACTGGTCCCCCAGGAGTAGGATTCTGATCGTAGCGATGTCTCCTCTCTCGCAAAGGCAAAGAATGAAACCCGGATGAGCCTTCTGACCTGCCTTCTCGGTAGACTGCTGCTTGGGCGTGACAAAGCGGACGCGAGCGCTCTTGAGGTCCGCAGTCATGGCGTGGGCATAGCTCTTGGCAAAGCCAATCTTGGTGATGACCTCCCCGCGATGATCCTTGATAACGGGCGTCCAGAAGACGATACTCTCGCGCGAGGCGACCTGAGCGGGGGAAAGAATCTGCTTCGTCTGCATGTAGTGCTTGAAGAGGATCGTAGCGCGTTGCTGGTTGAGGACGTTGAGCTGAACGCAGCGGACCCCGAGGTAATTCATGCCGAGATGGACAAAGACGAGCACGACCATGAGCGCAAAGACGGCTTCCCTACTCTCAACGTAGCGAACGACGATGGAGCCCACGAGCAGACCGACGAGACCGACAGCGGTCTCTTGAGATGCCTCCTTCGCATTGAGCTCGCTGAGGTTGTTGCGACGAGCAAAGTGCTTGGAAAGAGCGGCCTTACTGGCGCCTGCAGCAACGCCACACATTGCGCGAAGAGCTTCTGCGAGAACGAGGGCGAGGACTTTGGTCCAGGGGTCGAAGTAGGGGCTGAAGAGGTCGAGGAAGAAGGCGCTATCGTTGAAAATATCAGCGAGGTAGCGGTATCTCTTGCACTCTGGCTCAATGACCAGGCCGAAGCGGTAGGCGAAGACAATTGTGGCGACGCGAGAGATTCCATCCTTGAGGATTGTAAGGAGCAGGGCGTATGTCGCGGAAGATGACGCGTCGCCAACTCCGAGGCCTTGAAGAATGGCCCGATTGGCAAGAAGGCCGGTGATTGTAGAGAAGAAGGCCTGGAGAGAGTCGAAGGTCTGGTAGCCAATGTAATCAGGAGTAACCGAGTCCGGGTAGCCGATTGGCAGGAATGCGTCGTAGAGAATCTGACGCATGTTGGCGAGCCCGGCTGTCGTTGAGGTTGCGAGGGCCGTGGTGAGAGTCGGGATGGTGTTTTGGTGAGACTGGCGCGCAAGTGTTATTTTTTGTGAGGCGGTATTGTGCAGCCAGCGGTGGGTAATTCTTCCGGTTCCATCTCTTTCCTCAATGAGGATTTCTTTCTTCTCGGCTCCTGCCATCCTTTTTCTGGTCTGTTGTTCGTTTGAGGAATCTCGCAGAGGGATGGCCAAGGAAAGAGCGATGTGGCAGGAAGGCAGGAGTGAGGTTGAATGAGAAAAGTGGGCCCGACCTTGAAGGCAAAAGGGAGAACTTTCAGGACGAGGAAATGCTGCCTTGCGATACGTCAACCAGCAATTTCTCTGAAATAAGCTCTCAAAGGCACTGAGTTCGAGCTGATGATGTTCTTACAATCCCGGTTCTTGATTTTATTCCTGTCCAGATGCTTGGAGACTCTGTGCCATGCTCGGCTGGCATACTCAAAGCTGGCGACACATGCCATTTAGAATCGCGAGAGAGTACCCATGAGATATTCACTATTGTCTGTGTCTCACTGACGACACAGTCGCCAATACTAGCAGGAATTCGAAATGGTATTTAATTAGGTGTTTCTATACGCACAAAGAGAACTTTTGAGCAACTTGAAGCTTGTTTAGATGCCGCCAAAAATGGACTAAACAGATCATCGCTTAACCGGCTCACCATCCTCGCCAACAAGGTAAATATCCGACTTAATCGGGCCCTCACCAACGCCAGTCTGGATAACACGGCTGACACCGCTCTGGATAATACCAGCAACAGTCTCGTCCAAGGCCACAGAGGACTTGAGATCCTTGGCGCCCTCCTTCCATCCACCGACGGATCCCAAGATAGGGGAGAAAGCACCAACGACAGCAGCAGCATTCTCCTCGAGGTAGTAGATGACAGCGTTCGGGCCGGCGTCAAAGGTGTACGCAGCAATGGTCTTTCCAGCGGCAGCGTTGATCTGCTCTACGGCGCGAATGGCGGCGCGCGAGACGTCGTTCATGTAGAAGATGGGAGGGTAGGTATCCGCGCACGAGGAGTGGAACGAGTTGGAGTCGCGCATGGTGACTTCGGCAAACTTTTCGAAGTCGCGCTTGGCAATAGCCTCCTCCATCTCACCCATGTGCTTCGGCACGACCTCGGCGACGCGCTGCTTGAAGAGGCCCGACGTCGCGACCGTCTGCTGCATACCCGAAGTCGACGAGACGCCCTTCTTGGCCGCGCTGACGACCAGGATCAGGGCGCGCATCTCGGGCCAGTGCGACGCCTCGGCGACAAGGTCAGCCTTGGAGTCCGTGCCGTCCGCCTTGTCGCCCATCCTCCACGCGACGTATCCGCCAAACAGACTGCGGCATGCGGAGCCGGAACCCTGTCTCGCGATGAGGGACAGCTCGGAGGGGGACTCGGGGAGCTCGTAGAGGTCGGCGATGGCGCGGACGAGGGCGGCGAAGCCGGCGGCCGAGGAGGCGAGTCCGGCGGCGGTGGGGAAGTTATTCTCGGTGACGATCTTCAGGGGCAGCTTGGAGAGCTTCGGGAGAGAAGGGGTCTTCTCCTCGAGGGCGGCGCGGCGGGCGCGCAGCTCGCGGAAGCAGGCCTGTGTGCGGGCGCCCGAGACATCGGAGGCTTCGCCGTTGAGGATGAGACTGTCGCCCTCGGGGTAGGAGACGGAGCAGGATGCTGTCGTCAGGGTTCGCAGGTCGGCTTGGGAGAGGGTGACGGAGAGGGAGCTGTTGGTGGGGAGGTTGAGCTTCGGGTCGCGCTTACCCCAGTACCTACGTTTGTTAGTATTGAGACATCTTGAATACACATCTGCAGCTTGGTATAACACACTTGACAACGGCGATGTTGACAGGTGCCGTGGTGCTGGCACGATAGACCTTGTTGTCTGACATATTGCAATCGAGTTTGCGGTCTGCTAGAGGCGGTCAGTGAAATCCAAGGCGGGGCAAAATTAAATGAGGTGATATCGGGATGCATTGAGAGGCAAAGAGAACTCATACCTTGTGGAAACGAATAAAGACTTGGGGTATCACAAAGAATAATCAGTACTTGGAACTGCGTTGACTCCCGGAGGTTCGAATCTCTGCGGACAAGAACACTGGGATGGAGTTGGTGATAACTTGGCGGGGTTGCGAAGCTCGTCCCCTCACAAAACAATAGGCAAACAATACGGATAATTAGCATCAATTTCCAGGATGGGATTACCTGCGGTCTTTGCCTGAAGAGGCTTAGTGCGGGGTCCTCAGGGGAAACAGCGCTTGGACCCTGCCAAAGATACGTACTCACTCTTCATTCAGTGAATGTCTCACAAGCTGAATCTTCAACTTCACCTCCCTCGTTCACTTGATAACTCAGACACACAATCACTTCGTTCAGCCTGTTCATATACAACTTGTCGTATGCAAGGCGCAACCATCAGAATTATGCGTCTATGAATTCAGAATTTTGTAATGACCAAACGCCGATGCAATGCTCCAATACTCCAAGCGATCCCAGTTGCCTGATGCAAAACCCCCGTCTAATCATCTAGTCATGTCTCATTGCTCGTATCTCATATGCTCGTCGTCATATCATGAGACTGCTGTGTCCCGTAGTCACCAAGAATTGTAGGGCTTGAGCACCTGGCTCTGTTTCCTTGTGTTGCTTGCCCTCCTCAGCAGGCCTTCATGCTCTACATCATCGTGAGCTCAGGAGGAATATTCTCCTTGTTCGACTCCTGTTCTTCATCATTGCAGAACCAGACACTCTGAGCGAGAGCGTCTATGGCTTCAATAGCGTGGAGAACAAACGGGTAATCGAAACTGACACTGGCTTGCATCGCAAGGTCTTCAATGTCATCAACGGTCTCAGGCAGCTCAACCTCCGGCGAGTTCTCGTCGACGCTGATGCGGTACCTCAAGAGCTCTTGGCGACGCATGTCCAGCAGCCGCACAATCCGGCGAAGAACCTGTCGGTCCTCGTAGATGAGGGGATCGTGAAGTTGGTCGATGGCGTCGTCCAATGCGAGCATGCGAGCCGAGCGTTCGACTTGCTCGGGAGTGAGGTGTCGGCCTGGGGTACCCTGTTCGGGGTTTGGATGAAGATAATGAAGAGATGCAGAGACTTCCCTATTGCCAGACGCATGCTCTTTGGTCATGGTGGCGGGTAGTCGACCGTAGTGTCTGTTGTGGTCGATTGCTCTGCCCATGATGTTGGGGTGTCGCTCTTGGAGAACGCCGACGGTACCTTGCAGTTCTGGGATTGTGTACCTCGATCCATCTTCGAAGCCGATGTTGATGTCCCCATTGGCTGGACGGAATTTCTCTTCAGACTCATCACAGAAGATGGTAAAGTCATCGTTGCTGAAAGGTTGTTGCTCCTCAGACATAGTGTTGTCTTCATCATCACCGAAGATGGCGAAGCCTCCACTACTGGTAGATCGTTGCTCCACAGAAGCGCCGCTGTCTCCGTCATCACAAAAGATAGTGAAGTCGTCGCTACTGAAAGGCTGCTGCTCATCATGAATAGCGCTGTCTTCGTTGAAAACAGGGACATTGTTAAGCGGCATGCGACGGAGAGTGGTTGTGGTGTCCCCCTGAGCCCTTGAGGCAGAGGAAAGAGTAGCTCCGATGAAAGGCATGTTGATTATGGCAATAGGATTTAAGGTGGGTTGTAAAAGAAAAGAGCCGCAGCTAAGACAATCTCGGGTCTTTTTGTATAGGAGCCAGAGTTATGAGATGAGATAGGCGGAAGTGGAAAGTGAGTGAATCGCCGCAGTAGCCAACTGAGAATGAGATGAAGAGTACAGAGTGGATTGTGTTTGCTTGAGGTGAGCCTGCAGAAGGAAAGGAAAAGAAGAAGGGGATGGGCTGGCTTTTATTCCCAATTCTAGGAGGAAGAAAGTTTTGAAGTGATTTGATTGAGGCGTTGTGGCAGTCAAGGTCCTTCAATTCCATGATATCGGAGATAGCAGTCGACGATGTATGTACCCTTAGATCGCAACAGCCGACTTAGACCGCAACTGTATACCGCTGTACCTTCATGTTCGAAAGCCGTCAAGGTAAATGAAGAGTTTCCATAGGGTGAAAGTTGGCCGTGTGGCCTGAAACTTCTTTCTTGACCGTTTCGCCCCAGAGGAAGAATAATGTGTGAGTCAAGTGGTTTGATACCGGGTTTTTCTCAAAGTATCGTGAGTGATTTTGCGGGCATCGTTAGTTAGCTTCAGCGGGCTGGGAGGCCACACACGGGTTTTATGTCGCACCTTTATAGCAAGGGCTAAAATGAAAAACGACCTTGGTGGTGCTGTGGAATAGAGACACCCAGAGGCTGGTCTGATACATCTGGAACCTTGATACAGCACATCTAATCTCCATACCCGAGGTGGGATAGGACTCTAGTGGGCAGTCAGGAGCTCAGCTCATCTTTGCGTTTTGCTGCCAAATGCATTGGACTCGGAAATCAAGTACATTCCTTCGAAACAACGCGATTGTATAGACTCACTTCTAGTCTTTTTGGCCAAAATTTACACTAGCGGATAGAGTATAGGTGGGAAGGTTCTTAGTTCCAAGGAAAGGGTTTTGAGGGTCCCGGGGAGGTCCGGACCATGAATCTAACAGATCTCAAGAAATGCATCACCGCATATGAACCGTGCGATTACCACCTAACATGAAAATCTCTGTGTTGCAGCCAACAAGGTTAAAGCTACCAGGAAAGAAACCAAACAACATTGACAGAATTCCCTGTCAAAGGGACTCAGAGACGTCGCCTCGTCTGCATTTTGGCTAGGCTGACAGTCGATAACTCTTCGCCATAGGGCTAATAAAAGCCCATCTTGACCTAGTTCTTGATGATCTTCTGCTCAAACCAGTCAAACCTGACCTACTTAGTATACCTTGCAGCACCCACATGGCAATGGTCGCCTGCCGCGTCGTCTGCCGTGATTACAACCTAGTGGGCTTTGTCACCCCAAGCATCCCGCGTTGCCTCAGGTTGTCCTTTGAAAAGGTGATCGTCCGCGGCATCAGCAACAAAATACAGGACACTGAATTTTGTCGGCTATGCCCTTCAAGCTGAAATATGAAGCTTTGTCCAGGTACTCTGCCGGGGTTCGAACTTTGAAAGCCCATAAACCATGAGACAGGGGCCAGCGAGCTGTCGTTAGGACACCAGGGTCCGTGAAGACTTTCTCTGCTGCAGCAAAGTCCTGGACTCCCGAGTATCGAGCCAGGCCCTTCTCGGCATCGAAGACGGGGATACCCATAAGATTGTATAATCCATCGATACTGAATACCGCAGCAATGCGGTGGGCGAAAGCAGCAGCGCGGGCGGCAAGTAATTCTGCCATCGAGTTTCCGACAATCCCAACCTACTTCATATTGACGATTGGTGCAGTTTCCAGGAAGTCCAGAACAGGGGAGACGACTGTTTCCCACTCGTGGGTGAAACCGATTCCTTGATAACGGCGTGCACAGATCTGTCCTGGGCCGTCGTAGCATAGCACATTCCAACCACGCTCTAGAATTCCGGCGCCATACTGGTGGTGCATTTCTTCTATTGAGCCATCGTAGCCATTACCCAGGACGATGGTCGGCAACTTCTTGTCGGCAGACCTACATACCGGGAAGAAGATGACGGGTATGTCGAAGCTCGGTTCCTTGACCATGCGCCTATAACCAGGAATAGGCAACCGAGAGTTCGCCTGGTCAAGACACGACGTCTGCTTGTCGCAAGAAGATAGTATGCAAAGATCTTCCTAGTCGCCGTGCAGGTAGAAATCGGTAGCTCTGTAATAGGTAGATGCTCGGAACATGGCGTCGCGGATTGGAACCGGATTCGTCAATTTGTTTGGTGAAGGTTGAGATCAAGAGCTTGTTGAAGAGAGTTAGCTTCTTCATCATCACCTATGAGTACGCAATTACGCAAAGAGGCTTATCAAAAGATGACCATAGGCAACTTACTGTTACGTCGGACAACAAGACCATCGGATCGTCAGTAAGCACGACATTATGAAGCCGGTCATCACGATAACGCCGAAGGGCGAGCAGTTTCCCATCGGGTTCAAGTTGAACAGTCCGCGTTTGCGAAAGTACTTTTACTGGCGAATGATATCCCATCACTTGCTTGGCAGCTTTGGCACATCCGCCTTGAATATTTCTCTAGTTAGGCTCTTTTTCAAGATTGTTCATGCTCGACTATGAGGTAAATAATCCTTGTGAAAGTAGATGTACTCATGTCGATGCCATATTGGAGTTGGTTGGTAAGTACGACGATTCGATCCTAGTTCAGTTGTTCCTGCGAAGCATGAAGTCAACCAAGGCATGAGTTAGGAAAAACTAGAGATGAATTTGCTATAGTCCACTTGCACCCGGTGTGATAGTAGGAGATGGCCAACCTTTCAAGGGAATTGAATCCGGATTTGTGGTAACCCCGAGACGCGATGAGTCTCGAAGCCCCTTTTGCTCCGTACAAAACTGGGGAAGTTACCATGGCTACTGTAACATTATCACTTTTCTATGCGTTTGACTGCTAATTCTCATTGATTCCGAGAAGTGATTCATCTCCGGTATGAGGAACGTAGAAATGGACTTTTCGTTTCTTACTACGCCACCCTTCCTGGTTTTCAAAAATCAGCCTCACAGAACGATACCACCTTCTAGGTATACAGAGAAAGCCCCCAGACAACAGGCATGCTACGATCGGTGCCGCAAAACACTACGTACATATTACAGATAAACTGGTCCCCCGTCACCCCCTCTGAGAAGAGGCATTGTAGCCCCTTCAATGTATGACAATGTCTGCGGCTGTGCGGGAGCTCTCATACTTAGTAATCGGACGAATCGAAGAGGTAAGAGTGTTGTGCTTAGCGAATCGAGCCCGACTGGCACATTTTCGAGAGGAGAGATCAAAGCGAAGCTACTATATGTCCGACCTATGAAACCCATCCTACTTCTTCACACGCAGATTTGCCCGCTCTATAAGGGTTTGGCTGGTCATCTAACCACCTAACCGCATTTGTCGCCGTAAATTCCACCATTCTGGTTCTTTTGGCCATCTGTACGACAACAATCTGCCGACTGAGTTGAGTTAGTTATCATGGGTGTTGGTACTGCGTAGCCAGCATGCTACTTACGCACTTGGCCTTCACTTCGGCACTGCAAAGTGGAGGAGGGTTGTTGCTTTGGCAGCCTCCATATATACCCTTGTTCTATCAGCGTACTATCTTGAGCTCAAAAACGAGATTTCCGACTTACCAGCCAATAGACACAAGTGCCAACATCTTTGAAGCAACATCCCTCGCCAGGGATGCGCTTCCACGGTTTGCACTGTGCTCGTGTGAGATTGCGAAATAAGCCTGTAATCGGGGTCTCTTACCGCAATGGCAACCGATGGGAGCAAAGCGGCGTATAGCAAAGCGTTCAGCTGCATGTTGTCTTGTTGTATAGTCAATACTTGTATGGTCTTCGATCTGGTGCGAAGGAGATTCTCATTAGTGAAATTGCTCGTACTATATAATATTCTTCTGCCTCCATCATGGACGAGTTCAAGCAATGCCAGGAAAGAACAAGAAAACTCAATCTTTTTTGATATGAACCTTTTTATATGAATACGAAGAAAGAAATCATTTGTTCTGTGACAAAAGTCCTAATGAATCTTGAGCAAATTCTCACACTGCTCACACTCATATCAATTTCAGCGATAACACTAGCCAAATCCGTCTCGAACTTAGTGATCGTAAAGTTCGCAGGGGCTTGATGTCACAGGACCCGTCTCGACACCTTAGGTAGACTAGGGCAATATTAGATTCGTTCTTACATTATCCATAATACGTTAATTACCGTATTGATTCGCTCTGTCAAGCAGCGGTTATTAAATAAGGATTTAGTAGGGATATATCAATAATTGCAGGAAGTAAGTAGCTACGGGAATATACCGACTATTTATATGATAAAAAAAAAAACAACTCTTATACTAGTATATCTTTAACAACCTCGGTTATGCTTACACAAGACTACATTATCTTATAAGTATGGTATGATAATTATTATGACGAGTGTAAGGGGATGGGTCCGACAGAATGTAGCTTATACTCAATTCTGAATTCTATCCGTTATTCTCTTTTCTAATCGAGCACAGGGTTTTGAGGTGTGAATGCTGGTGCTTACCAAGACGATTGACGTCTCTAATGATAATCGTTTGCTCGTTACCATTATAACTAACAATACACTATCTGACAACTTCAATCATTAACCCATTGTTTGCTATTCGAACTGTCACTACTTTGCAAAGCATGCAGTACATTGTCGACGTGAACAAGAGACCTAGTGAAGAGTGTGACTCTACACTTTGCCATATGAAGCATGATCATGACTCGCAACCCTCAAATATCCACCCTCATCGCCATACAAACGTTCCTTTACGGGGGTCATTTTTCTTCGTTGTTTGGATGCTAAATCATGACGTCTCAGCGCCAGCCAAAGATAGTTCTGATATTTTATTTACTCACCAGACTGTATTTTATTTGCCTTGTACAGTTGCGATGCATTCGCCATCGAACTGAGCAGCGTATGTGGTGCTCTCTGTCTTGAGATTGCATGACTGGTCCGCCGTGACACCGACGCGGGCTTTAGCTGCCCAAGGATAAGTTGTCCAGCCCTTTCCGACGCAGCCTTGACCGACATTCTGGCCCGTAGAAATTTCTCTGACCCAAAAATGGCAGCCTGGGGCCGTAGCGGCAATTGCAAGGCCTGCGTGGGCAACAAAGATAAGAAAGCGCATTTTGGGTTTGAAATGTGAGGTTACAAGTCTTCGAGCAAGTGCGATACAATCAGACCTTTGATTAAGAAACTTGCTATTGGTGCTGAAAGTCGAGCAATGTCTGAAATATAAAATAACCTAAAGATATGGGCCGGGAGTGTAGTTGAAATAGCAACATGTGAGCCTATGAGGAGTCATGTTATGTTTAAATAACAATGGAACTGCGAGTCAGACCTAGGATCCAAATAAATTAGAACGGATATGACCGACAGTAGCGCTGTACAATAGAGTTCAGGAGACCAGACACCTGCAGTCAGCCTTGCGCGGAATGTGGATTTGGCATCAATCGAAACAACATCAAATCCGGTGGGATGATGACCGAAACCACCCTGAACCAATTAGTTGTGCGTAGATTTAGCAACAGGCCACCGATTGACGAAGTCCCCTTCTTTCTAAACTCAAATACGACCCAGAATCATACACAACCGAGGATACTCCGGCGTATTTCTGGACAAGTGCGCCGGAAAGTCACTGATGGCGTTTTATCTTGGCCTTGGCCTAAGGGAAAAGTATTGACCACGATGATTCATAAGTCGTCCTGATAGGAATGAGTATCAAGATTTAGCTAGAGAACAACGCAGAAGTCAATATAGAAGCCAGATAAGGTGCCAAAATTTCGGTAATTGTTTGCGAGAACAAATAGCTGAATAGCGAGAAAGATAAATGAAGGACCGGCCACACAGAGCAGAGTTGCGGTTACACCATTACCACCGCCGCGTTCTGCCCAGTTTTGCACAACATTTAGTAGCCATTGGGGCAACGGATCATAGTGTTGGAAGCAGTCACACGGCCGCCGCATCCGTGGTACGCCATGGAGTAGCACAGTCCTTGAGCGCTAGCACCACCAGCGACCTTCTCAGTAGGCACGGTATGAACCTCGCAAGGCGTGACGTTGATGAACTGGGTATATTGTTCATTTATAGTCAGCCCCCTTCTTCTTATTCTCCAAGTTGAGGGTAAAGTATATACTCATAATAATGACGCCCTTACGAGACGCTAAAGTGAGGTCTTGCCTAGAAGAAGTAGACGTCGTAGGGACCGCAATTGCCACTATAGGTAATACCGGTAGGAACACTAAAGCAAGTCGTTAAAAATAAAATAATACAAACTTGTTGGATAGTTAATATTGAATCAATGGTCTGATCCTATAAAATTATTCCTAGAGCACAAAAAATCATACAAGACCTGGAATTTGTCATGATTTTGAATTTGCTGAATGCCTTCCAGGTTGGGTCGACACCTCATGCCTAAGATACCTACCCACCTTTTGAACCATATCTTACTCTACTGCACAGTAGGTTAAGATCTTAGTGTGGTAACAGCAGCTTTACACTGCCTACTGTAGCCGAATTTCGCGTACATAGGCGATTGAGTATCCACAAGACCCGACGGTTGCAGAACGGGCATTGTAGGACAAAGGAGAGACCAGCAACAGAAAGGGGAATAATGTGTATGATTGTGAAGAACACAACATCTACAGGCCATGTTGGTGGTGGGACTTGGCTTCCTCAAACCATTGAACACCGTGCTCCAATCTCGGCCGTAGATTGGCTGCCCAGTTCAACGTCGCCAAGCACCCATTTTAGCTTCGCAGCTCCTTCCGCCCATTTTCAACCAGCGGCTAGTTGCCGCCTTCATTTTTGCAGCTTACATACACAAACACAGCATGTTCGCGCTGGCCTTATGCCATGCTGACTTTCGAGATGTAGAATGACCAGAATCAGAGTTCGTGGGGGTCTGATGGGCTGCATATCCATCGGTGTCCGCAACGAGGTGCATCCCGAGCACATCGTCGCATCCGCAAGCTTCGGCCGTCTCAAACCCCTGGCTAACTATCTCGAAGATGGTGTTGGAAGAGATGCCACACCAGAGTCCCCATCCGCCCTGTCGTTGACGTCTCCCCCGCCTCGTGGCCCAGACCTTGGCCAGAAACCTCGACCACATTCGATGTACGGCTTCTAGCCAGAGCCAGCGTCCCCTGCAAAACCTAAGAGCTACTGCATACATGTAACCTCTAAAAGCTCGTCCTGAAGCAGGCCAGGCACACAGTCTTTGCCCTGGTTCCCATGTCGAATGATGCGATAGGGCCCCAGTCCCGTTTCAATCTCGGTCTACGGCAAGGCGAACCCATATAACCATCTGACCCAGGCCGGCGGAACAACATGGAAACCACAATGATTGACCAGAACCCAGACTTCATTCTTCTCCTACTAGCAGAAAAGAGTTCTGTCTTAGATCATCACCGCCTCCTGATCAGCTATCAAGACTAGCATCATCATCATCGACGAGCATGAGATCGAATTAGCGCAACATGTCCGGAGGACCGGGATCCGCCGAAGAAACGGGAGCGGACGACGGGCCACACGAGTGTTGGCTCTGAGAAACTGAGACCATCTAAAATTGTATCGCTTCCAAGAGCGTATCACTGAAGACTAAAGCCCGGCGAGCTATCATGGCCGCCGCACTGCATCAATATGACTACATCTTCGCCATCACCACCATCTTCTCCTTTCTCGATGCTTGGAACATTGGTATGTCTCACCAGGTTGTGCTAGAATAGACCTGCTGCAGAACTTCGATGGAGCTGCCCGTACACATACAACTGACCATGTGAAATCCAGGCGCAAATGACGTCGCAAACTCATTCGCGACGTCTGTCTCCTCCCGCTCCCTCACAATGAAACAAGCAATGGCCATTGCTGCCGTCGCCGAGTTCTCCGGTTCCGTAGCAGTCGGTTCCCGTGTGACAGACACTCTCCGTAACAAGATCATCGACCCGCACCTCTACGCCGCCCAACCTAGCGTCCTTCTGCTCGTCATGATGTGCGCCATCTTCGGCTCCTCCGTCTTCCTTAGCATTGCTACGCGCAACGGCTTGCCCGTCAGCACGACGCACTCCATTATTGGCGGACTTGTCGGCGCCGCGACCGCGAGCGTGGGTATCTCGAAAGTTAGTTGGGGGTGGGACGGGGTGTCGCAGGTGTTTGCGGCGTGGGTTGTTGCGCCGGGGTTAAGCGGGGCGCTTGGGGCGGTGATGTTTCTAGTGACGAAGAGGTTTGTCTTGACCAAGGCGAATGCTGTACGAAATGCCTTCTTTACGATTCCGTTTTACACCTTTCTGACCTTTGGCTCGTTGACAAGTGAGTCCTCGCGTTTTGCTCCCCTTGTTATCTTAGGCGGCTGGAGATGTGTCCTTCAGACGGAGACTAACAAGCTTGATAGTGCTCGTAGCTTGGAAAGGCGTCCAGCTCCAGGTTGAACTCACAGCAACCCAAGTCCTCATTGCAGTCTTCTCCGTCGCCACTGGCGCCACGCTCCTCCAAGCCTTCTTCCTCTTACCCTACCTCTGGCGGAAGATCGTAAACGAAGACTGGGAGCTCACTTGGCTCATGATGTGGAAGGGCCCCTGGCTCCTTAACCGGCCGCCACCACCACTACCTCCAGCCGGAGTACGAAGAGTCAACATCAAGGACTACTACCGCGGTCACCTCACAGCTGACGAGCTCGCCTACGTAAGAGCATCGGAAACCCTCTTAGAATCAATTCAAAGCAGCCAAACGCCCTCAGACCTCTTCAAAGACGACCAACCCATCCTCTCGCCGCCAGTCCTCGGACCCCCCCAAACCCCAGGAGCAACATCGACAACATCAGCCTTGACAGAAACCACACGCCGGCCCTCCTCATCCTCCTACTCCTCTACTTCAGAACACATCCCACCTCGCCCGCCAGGACCCAACGCGAGCCTCCCCGTCCTCACATGGCACCTCAACCGCATCCTCCTCCGCGGCCTGGAACAAGACGTCATCACAATGCAAAAGCGCAACGCCGTTCTCTCCTGGGACATCGCCGACATGCACGCCCGCGCCCCGCACTACGACAACCGCGCAGAACACATGTACAGCGCCCTCCAGATCCTGACCGCCTCCGCCGCGAGCTTCATCCACGGCGCAAACGACGTGGCCAACAGCATCGGACCCTTTGCGACGGCCTACGACATCTGGCGCACGGGGGGCATCGAGACGTCGGTGGGAGTGCCGGTGTGGATTCTCTGCTTCGGGGGCGGGGCCATCGTGCTGGGCTTGTTGACGTACGGGTACCACGTCATGCGGAACCTCGGAAACAGGCTGACGCTGATTTCGCCGAGTAGGGGGTTCTGCATGGAGCTCGCGAGTGCGGTGGTGGTGATGATGGCGACGAAGCTTGCGCTGCCTGTGTCGACTACGCAGTGTATTGCCGGCGCGACGGTCGGGGTCGGGTTGGCGAATGGGGATTGGCGGTCTATTAACCCGCGGCTCGTGGCGTGGATCTATTTCGGGTGGTTTGTTACCGTGCCTGTGTCTGCGTTGTTTTCGGGGTCGTTGATGGCGTTGATTCTTAATGCGCCGCACTGGGAGGCGGCCATAAGGGGAGGATAAGGCAAAGAATTTGCTTTCGATCGTGATGACGGGCCGGTACTAGGCCTTGGTGGATGTCGAGTCCTTGAATATGTTACGATACCCAAATCGTTGTGTTTTGGTTCTTTTGAGCGGGAGTCAACAGGTTCAGAGAAGTCTTTAGTATTGCCTAATAGAAAAAACCGCTTTGCACCAGGAAGCAGCATTATGAATGCGTGGGTATCGCCGCTAGCTAGTCTCGCTCACACAACTCAGTGCAGTGCAAAGATCCGCATATCAGACTCTTTAGGCAGATACTTCAAAGCCCAGCCCACATGCCCATCAAGATACGCCTCCCCGATGACCGAAAAGTGCTCAACCGCGCACTCACCTTGCCTAGGAATCCTCCACAACTCCTCCTCCTTCTGCTCGTTCGTCATCGTGACAACGCCGTATCCAGGCTGTCTCAGAGACTCTAACAGCATACGCTCGATCTCTGGCCCGTGAACCCCAGCATCCTTCGAGCGAAGCAGAACGGGCGTGTTGCTGCCTACTAGATACACAACCACGTCCCCCGCCGAAGCTTGCGCCGGCACGATACTCATCCTGCCCCCTCCTGTGGAGGCTAATCGCCTGCCTTCAAGGTCGGAGTCGCCGCCTGTCCGGGCAAAGTAGCCATAGAGGCGTTTGATGACACCGTTTGTGCCCGAGCCCACGAACTCGCGCTTCTTGCTGGCTTCAGAGGCCAACCAACGCGCGAGGGTTTCGAGAAAGCCAGCATCTCCTTCTCCCGACTGGTCACCGGAAACGGATGACTGCCTGAGGAAATTCTTGAGTGCCCCGGCCCACGTAGTACCGACGACCTGACAAAGACGCTCATGCTCCGCTTCCTTGCCCTTGAGCGGAACGTGTCGATATTGACCGAACCTGTCCCCCGAGGCGTAAGCGTTTCTATACATTCCCATCAACTCGGATCTCGCGGCGTCATAGTCTCCAGTCAGGTACGAATTCTGTAGACCAGATGGCATCACGCAGCTGACGTGCATGATCGTCTCGACCTTCATGCCAATGTGGCCCAAAACAAGCGGCAGATCACTATTCGAAGACTGGGTAAAGGCATGGTGGACCTCCTTTTTCACTCTGATGTGGTCCAAGCTGTTGTCCTGGATCATGCAGAGCGGATTCCTCTTGGTGTACGAAGCTTCGAGATTCCAATCGGGTGCCCAGGATGGAAGGCCATCTAGTCGTTTCGAAGCGGGAGCATCGTCTACGTGAAACACCATCTGCTCGATACCAAGCTCGTAGAACATGTACTGGGCAACTTTGCCAAATGTACGACCGACCGACATGTTGTAGTCAATCTTCAAGTACTGCTCAACAGTCTCGAGATCACTAATGATGCCAAACGTGGCGTATACAAAGTCGGCTGGGTTCGTGGCGCCTAGCCCTCTGCGCGCCTTGACGGCGCGGTGTAGAGGGAGCCTCGACTGGCTGGCCCAGCTCGCGTTCATATCCGCCAGGACGCGCCGCCTCTCTTCGTCGTTCTGCGCCCTCGGCGACGAGCCTGGGTCGCCGCCACCGAGGAAGAAAGCGCAGAACTCGCGCCATCGTATCCGTCTGCTGCCGCATTGGACCCAGGGATCTCTCGACAGGACAAGCTCCTGAAAGACCCAGACGCGCTCAAACCATGTCTTGGACAGCAAGCTCCAAGGCCCCCCTTCTCCTATCGCGGCGACGGCGGTACTTTCGCCTTTATCCGTGCCGGGCTCGGGGGCGAACTCACGGGGTACGGAAAACACTTCAGCCACGTCGGGCGTGAGATGGCCGAGGTGGATGACGGTGCTGTGGGCAGTCGAGTAGATTTGCCCCATCAACCTCACCTGGGCGTTGCGCTCGTCGACGTTATCCTGATCAATGCAGAGGGCGTCCGCCCAGACCCTCCTCACGCGCGTGGGATCGCGCAAGTCGCGCAGAGCGTCGTCGAGCGAGGCTGTGATTGCAAAGAGGTGCTCACGGCCGCCGCCATCGACGAGTCGGATCCGACATGCCCGTTCTGAGGTGCCCCATACGTACGACAGGGCTGTGTACGGGTCGATCAGGTCGTAGTCGCACTCGGCGAGGGTGGTGTTGCGTAGGGATCCCCTGAGTTGGTCTGCGCGGGCGGCGGAGGGCTCGAGGAGGAGCAGCCTGAAGGCGTCGTTGTCGTTACCGCCACCGCTGGTGCCGGTGCCTGTGGATGAGAGCGGTTCGTAGTCGTACCTGTGCTCGCATTCAGGCTCATACGCGGACATGATGGGCGGAGCGCGGGGTGCAACTTGGCACTGGGTTTATCTTGTTCGGGGACCCGGGGTTTACTGAAGGTGCCGTCGGTGATCGGTCCGATGCCGCTCACTACCAAGTATCCGGTTCCGTGAGGTGAGGGCCTGGATGGAAGTGGAGACCCTGGCCTCCGCGGGAGGGAAGGGTTTCTCCCCTTCAACGATGACTAGATGGATGCTATTTTGGCAAACTCGGTGATAATGCAGATTCAAACTTTGCTTATCTTCGCGCGTACAGCTCGTTCCGACGGGATTTTGCCTTTTGCCCTTTGTTCTGGTTCTTTGGTACACCCTCTCCCGGATCGTCTTGATGTGAGGCAAAACAAAACGGAATTGGTATCTGCCCGCATCTGAATCTTACATGCTTTTCGTCCCAAACCGGAGACGGGATGACAACAGATCTTACTCCACGTGACTCGGACGAAGACCGATTGTTTCTGGGCCGAGTCAGCCCTAGTTTCACGGCAGTACGGTTTTGTTCTTCCATCTGATGTAAGTATTGTTTCTTGCAGTGAGAAGATTTTCAGGGTCAAACGGCGAGCAGATGAATCAGTTTGGGTATCGGGATGAAGGATGCAATGATTCGAGAACACTGTTCTTCTTGGGGGACATTGCGCTTCATCTTGCCAAACGTAGATGTCGGCCGTGCCGTGATAACCAGTTATTAGACGACTCGGCCGGGGCAATTCGGTGTGCGTGAGGGAAAAGTGACGACCAGCTGCGGTGGCGACCGAAACAGCTTGAAACCTTAGTCAGCAGGCTCAACGTCCAGGGAGAGACAAGGTCATGCCTGAGGCTGAAGCTGTCTAGAATGGAGCGGTAGGTACCTATAGAATGGAAAGAGTCAGCGGGGGATAATCCGAGCTCTACGAGGGATAGTGCGAGTTAATCCGAGAGCTCGTGACCGGGGCAAAGGGGAGCCGTTGCTGGAAAGCCAATCAAACCGTTACCGAGTGGAGACCCCAGGCCCCTTGATCTTGGTCCGTCCAGAGTCGAATCTCAATCGGATGGGATTCTGGGTCCAGGCCCAGAAACCACGTTTAGTGTCGTATCCAGCAGGCGAACCTCTGCGCGCCAATCCCCCGCTGGGAAAAGCGTAGATTCAAAGGCTGGCATTTGGCATGTCTAGGTGCCATCGCGCATGTCTTTCTCCAACTTGTCTCCAAAGTGGCAGAAAAGCTCTAGCCTCAAGTAGCTTCCCGTAGCTTGCACGCCAATGCCATGCCCGCGGCCCCCTAACCCATCCGAATTACTACGGTAGATGACGCCGCTGGAACTGCCTCACAGTCTACGGAGTACAACTCGTTAGAATCAAGTTGATCAGCAGGAGTGGACGAGACAGAAAGGCTGGAGCCAGCATGCCAGCAAGTCCTGTATGGCCAATGGGCCACGAGCCTGTGAGTAGTCGAGAGAGGGGGCATAAGAGCTGAAGAGAATGATGAACATTGATGAACATCATCATGGATCTATGGGCTATTTGCCAGACGGAACGGCCAAACCCCTTTCTGCTAGTCTCCGCTATTGCGTATTGCCAACCCTCTTTTGCCTCCCTCGGTCGTATCACGCGTATGGGATTTGCGCTTTCCAACTGCGCATCGGCCTTTTCTGCATGCCGCCTATTTGGATCGTCTGGTGTTGTTCCTGCAACATCCCACTTTTGATTGTCCGTCTAGCTTATGGCTTCAATGGGAATCCAAGCCGACTTGCGACACCAATGACGCTATTTCCCTCCCCTTTGCTTTCTTTCTTTCTCTTCTCCATCGAATGTGGCTATCCACAGTGTCAAAAGATCCGAGACGGTGAACGGAAGCTAGGAAGTTTGAAAAGTTGCATAGGGATCGTCGTCTGGCCGTACCACTTTTCTGAGATATTCTTGGGAGTTGGCAGAATTGGCCGAATGGTTGTATCCGTTACTGCGTAGGTATCCATACGACGCCCCCACCCCTCCCAAGAAGTCCTTCCCCTCTCCCTGATGACCCCAAATCCCTCCCCTTTCCCATCAATTTGTTCTGAACCCGCGGACGGGCGAGCCCCATGACAGACTGTGCCACTCAACGGTCTCGAACATGGATACGGGATATTACGTACGCGGCCTTGCTTCCGGGTACCTACATTTTTCTCCTGCGGCGCTCCATTGGCGATGGCACCTCGCCAGGCTCGCACCTATTTTCCTTGCTGACTTCCGCTTCGCTCACCACACCCCTGGGCCCCGGTCCTTAGTCGTGGCTGTTAAGTGGGGTTCCTTTTCAAAGTTGTATAGATTTTCTGGGATGACAGGCATGGCAGCTGTTCCAGTTCCAGCCCGCTCCCGCTTCTTCAATTCAATCTTGGTGTTGCTGCGCTGCAGCAGCAGCAGCACATGCAGCGTCACCGTGCCGGGATATTGGATAGGTGAGACGGCAAAAGGCGATTCAGCCAACAACCACCACCTGGCTTAAGGCCTAGGTACACACACCTCGGCTACGAGATACTCAGCTGAGCGCTATTTCCGAGCTGACTCTCTCGCTAGGTAGGCGCTGGAACGCTGGCTGGCACGAGCTCGGTGGTAAAAGTCTGGAAACTCTTGTTGCCGAATAGAAACGAATCGGGGAAAAAAAAGACGCACACAGCACAGCTTGGTCCTCTATAAGGAACCTGCTGATGTTGCTGAAGGAGGTGCACCGTGTAGGGTGATTGGATGCAGCCACCATCCCGCAATGGAAGGCCTGCAGCAAGTGCAGTGCAGCCAGCCTGCAGGGAAAAAAGTCACCTACCTATGTGTACCCGAAGAGATGGGATGCCAATTGTTTGGCGTGTGTTGTGTGCCTCGTCTCATTCGTCTCGCAAACACGGAACGAGATAAAATAGGGAAGCAAATGAAAAAGTTAGATAGGACGAGCGCGGAGTACCCCAGCGGCTAGGTTTTTAGCTATTGCTACGACATAACGCTCAATTAGGAGGTTAAATTAGAACGAGATTTGTAACCATCGGCGAACTACCTCTCACGCAGCACGAGCATATCCTGCTGGTAGATAATAGAGTGCCGTGATATGAGGTTAGATAAATGAGCAGTATAGATTACCTCAGGTACCTAGTAGAGAAACCGCGGGTAGATAGTAAATAGAGGCATGCCGTATAGTAGGAACTAAAGGAAGTCTAAGTACCTTATTATCGAAGAAAGTTAATTCTTTTTAAATTATAAGTATAAGAATATAGTTTTAATAAAATAGTATAATACTTATTTAGTATTTAAATTAAAATACTTTTTTAAGCTCGTTATAAAAGAAAGATAACTATATTATTAACTACTTATTATCGAGGTTCGTAACGCTATAGCTTTAACTATAATAATTTTATTTATAATAAATAAAAAGTCTAATTATAAGTCCTTTAAAAGCCTCTTTTTAAGGGCTATAAAAGCCTTTAAGTTAAGTTAAAATACTTATTAAAATACTAATAACTAAACTAACTTTATAATAACAGCCTTAATAAAAAACTTAAGAAACGAACTAAGAGATAATATTAAAATCTTTATTAATATTAAGTATAATTTATAAAAAGTAGTAACGTAGTTATAAAATATTAGTAATATATTTTATACTAAGAAGACTATTATTAATACTAATAAAATAAATAGGGCTATATTAATATAGTACCTTAGCTTCTTCTTATAGCTCGAGGATAATTATTTTAAATAGTATTAAAAATCTATTAAAAAGCTCTTTTAAATACTTTAGTATATCTATTACTATTTCTATAATAATAAGACTCCTAGCGCTTATGTATAAAAATAAGTTACTTATTTCTAAATAGTAATACTAGCTTATTAATAAGCTATTAAAATTATAATTTTAATAATTTTTTAATAAGAAAGAGGGTAAAATAGAGGAAAAAATAGGTAACTTATAAAAAGGGTTAAGGTTAAATAGTGCGGAATTCGAGGGCAGGGTAGCGTCTATATATACTACGACAATCCTCTAGTAATACAAAACGATAGAGTTAAATAGTGAACTAGAGGAAGTCGGCGCCATCCATCAATCCCCTCCCGCTTCGGGTTCGCAGTTGACGTTTTATGGGGCCTTTGCGAGGCGCAGTCGGCGGCGCCAAGGGGAAACTTCCGTTAGCCAAGAGGCTGGAGCCTGGCCATTGGATGATTACGGTGTTTCCCGTTTTCGCAGCTTGCTGCTTGCTGCTTCCTGAGTTTGCTTCTGGTCGTTCTTGCCGTCTTTCTGCTCCATACCTCGGTTTGCGGGATGCCCCCACTTGGCCACCCGTCCATCATCTTTTTGTTGCGTTTATTTCGGATTGTAACATGATGTCTGTCCTTCATCAATTAATCTTCCCGCGGGTATCCGTACGTTGAGTTCGTTATCAACGGTGGGTCATAGGACTTGGAGGATCAAAGCACGTTCGCATTTCGAACGGATGCTATCGCTAGACGAGCTTGCCAACTTGTGGCTTTTCAAGATCCGAACCCCCCCTTGGCTTGCCATTGCCCAAGTTGCCCCTCCCTCCCCTGCGGCGCTGCCTTGACAGGCGCGCCATTTCCCTCGGGCCAATTTCGTCTGGTTCCGCCCCAACAGCTCGGCTCGCTAAATGAGCCACCACCTGGCACCACCTCGCACGGGGAAGGAAGGACCAGGGAGGGGCAAGCGACCAAGGTGGACGGGGTTGAATGGGACCGCGTACAGTAGCCGAGGGAAACAGTTCCCTTTGAGGTCTTGCGGCTTGCCAAGTTGCCATGTGCAATCAGAGGTCAAAGAAAAACCAAGAAAACCAAGAGACGAGGCAATGGGATTGGGCCAAAAGATTCAAACAGCCGCTCCAACCAAGACTGCGACACAAACACACACACACACACACACACAAACCAGGCCAAGGCTCCCCCAAGACTAAGGTAGAGAGAGTCGAGACATGGTGGGAGGTCTAGCCAGAGCTTGAGCGGCATTTCCAGAAACATTCTATCGCATGTTCAAAACTTGGGTCGCTCCAGACTCTCCTCTCACTCTCCCACCCACACTTGCACTTGTCAAGTCAAGACTCAACCATGGAGACGGATCTGCCGTATGAGGGGTTCTCGGTTCTACACTAGTCAAGACTCAAGAGTCAAGGCTCGATGGGAGAAAAGGACATTCCCAGCACAATCGCCACACTCCTAGTCTCTCCCGTCTCTCTCAGAGCAGGTGCCGTCTTTGTGTCAATGTGTCCTTGGTGTCTCTTCGCGGGACGGTGGAATTGAGTTTCAAGGGTCCTGGGTCCTCGTCCCACTTGTTCTCCATTCTTTTCTGGCGCGCTTCCCACTCAAGACGCGTGTTCTTGGGGGTTCTTGACTCTTGCCAACTTGTTTTTCTTCGCTCTTTCCTTTCTTCCACTCTTTGCGAGGTGCGAGGTGCGAGGTGCGAAATGCCAAAGTGTCTGTGTGCGGCTGCCAAGTCTTCGGAGGGGTGCACTTGCTTGGTTTTGGTCTTGGTCTTGGTCTTGCCTAGTCTTAGCCTGTTGGAAAGTGACTTGGGAAGGAGCTTAGGTGAATGAGGGAAAGGGCAACGCGAGGCCCCAGAAACCTGGAAGGTGCAGCAAGTCTGGAGAATGGAGAATTGGGCAATTGCGTTGCAACAGTTTAGCCTGCGGCGCACTTGCACCCGCGTACTGAAGTGCGTACTTCCTGCCAAGGTGGTCCCGCCCCTCCGTATCGAGTACGGTCCTTCCTTCCCTGCCAAGCTACCTATTCACCCACTCAAGAGCCCCCAAGGTTTGAATAGTGGAAGGTCCCAAGGAGCTCTTCTCTTTCCTCGGTTTTCCTCAGCCGTGTTCCGGTGACCGTCACGGTTCCCCATGTCGACCGTGATGGATGTGATGTTGAGGTAATACGCGCACTGCGCACCGCTCACCACCCGCGCACTTCGTACCGTCTTCGGGTCCAATGGTAGGGAGGCAAAGACAAGGAATGACCTTCCAGAATGGCAGAATCCACCGCCTTCTCCAACATTGGAAAAGTGCCTGACTTGAGAAGGACCCCAATATTCATCGTTTCAGCCTTTCAGGGTCCTGTCAAGGCTCCCACTGCCCAGCCCAGGCCCCCCCGCCGGCGCAAGGTCAACCGGTGTCAATCAGATAAGCTCCTTCTCCTTTTTTCTTCTTTAATTTTTTTTCTCCTTCCATCCTCGCTCACCCCGGTACACGCCCATTTCGTTTGATTTTCGAGTCTCACTCTCCGTAAATCTCTTACAATTGCTTCAATCTAGAGTCATTCGTCTGTTATTCTCGTCTGCTATCTGCCGTGTGCTGAGGCAAAGGCAAATGGCCAATGCATAGTTGCACCTTGCAGAGCCCAGCCCCCATTCTCCAGCAAGCCCGGTGGCCCCAAGCTTCCAAGAGGCGAGAAAGAGAAGAGCAGCAACGCAACAAGCTGCGCCCCCGGGGCTAGCGAAAGCGCCAACGGCCAATTTACTAGATTGGATCAGGGGGGGATTCGGGAAACAAGATTGGCAGATGGGGAGGGGTGTGGCCTGGCCGTGAATGAGCTGGGCGCGTCCATTTCCATTCTGTCAATCTTTTTTTCTTTGCAAACTTGCGCGTATGTGTCCATACTATTATTCCTACGTATTCGTACCTGCGTACCTCTGCGTACCCATACGAATACTCGCTGTCATTCATTCTGCTCTGCATTTTCAGCGTCGAATCTCATACACACAGACATTTTTGTTTGTTTAGCTTTCTCCTTACCTGTTCATACCTCTTTCATTTTTACTCACTCACCACATGTCTGATTGCCATGTCCACACAGCTACGCCATCGCGCATACAGACACACAGAGTACCTTACCTACACCACTTTGTAGGCACAGCAATCCGATACCTTGGCTGCAACCGCAACCACCACAACCTGGCTGATGTTCGGTTCCTTTTTGTCTTGGCGGGACATCTGGGAGTGGGAAGCTAGTCGGGGAGATTGGAAAGACTACTTTCTTGCATCTCAATGATGAGAGAGAGTCTCTCCATCGGTTTCCCCCTCCGCCCCCCTGCACCATGTCATGTCTCCATGTCCACAGTTTCTCTCACCCTTGGCCCATGGTATGGCCCATGTCCCATCCTAATCCCAATCCCCCATATCCATCCCGTCCCCATCCAGGCACTTGCACCTCCCACAAGAACCCACGCGCACTGTTTCGACCTGCCTAACTCGAAGACAAGCTGTCCTTGACCGACGGTAGTCTCGCACACTCACACTATGAGTAGTAGCAACAGCAGCAGCAGCCCGCACACACTTGTGGCAGTGGGTTGACTCTTGGTGGTGAATCCAAGAAACCAAGTGGGTGTGGATGCAATGGAAAAAAAATGATCCACAAATCTTTTGAAGAACCACCTTGCCTGGGCACCCTCGCCTCGCTCCACGCTCCACGCTCCACGCACTGCACGACCTGCTTGCTCCTCGTTACTCGTAGTCTCGTACGGGGATGAGCCACGGGGTATACGGAGTAGGTACCGTACCGTCCCTGGCATCTTTGCCGCCGCCGCTTGCTTCGTCTCGTGTACTTTCTTGGTGGTGCTTTTGCTGGTGCTGGTTGTTGCTCTTTCTCTCTCTCTCTCTCCTGGATGGAGCTGGTTTGCGGCTTGCCTGTTGCGCTGCTCCTTTCCATCCACGTTTCTTCTCACGTTCTCGTCTCGTCTCGTCTCTCCTCCTCCCCCCAGTATCCGTATCCATCCATCCATCCATCCAGTATTATCCCATTCACCTCACACCCCCCGTCGCCCTGTTACGTTGGCCCGTTGTCCCGTCTGCCCGTTTCTTGTCTCTCCCGTCCCTCTCTCTCTTGACTCTTGCTCGTTTGTTCTGCCCTTTATCCAGAGCCTGCCCCCCCTCCATCTTCCTAATTCCCAGGTCATGTCCATGTCGTCTGTTCTCATCTGAAAATGGCACGAGTGTCGACTGCTTCGCCTTTGCCGTAAATTCTCTTTCTCGCCATCTCGAACCGAAAGCTGTCCGACAGGGTCCTGAAGCTTTCCTGTCACCGCGCATCTTGCCTGCCGCCAGCCAGCCCACCCCCCAAGCAAGCCAAGGTCGATAATACGTAAATACCGCATCACCCACCTTCGACCAGCCAGTTCGTCCCCGGCGCATCACCATCACCTACCCAGGTTCACCACCGAACCGACTCTTCCCTTTTCTTCTTCCTACCCTCTTGCGACTGGACCTCAACTGCCTGTTGACCTTGTACGCAACTGTGTGGCGATAATTTGAGTTCGATTGGGGTTTTGTGTTCGTTGGGCCAAGTTCGACCGCACCTTCCCTTCCTGCCTTCCAGCAGTCGCCCTCTCGAATTCACCACGTTGACGAAACCTCGTCACCACCACCCACTAAATAAGAAATCGTCGATTCTTCTTTTTTCGACGAATCCGAAATTTGGCTACACAGCGCAAATTTTTTAATCGAATAACGAAACGATCCATACAATTACGAAAATGGATCGTGATAGCAGAATCATCACCCCCCGCGAGGTGGAGGGCATGATTGCAGATGGACGCACAATTGTCATTCTTGACGAAATGGTTCTTCGCCTCGACGGGTGGATGGGCAAGCATCCCGGTGGCCAGTTGGCTATCCTGCACATGGTTGGAAGAGATGCGACCGACGAGATCAAAGTGTAAGAGGCTCGACTTACCTTCCATGTCCAATTAACCTTTGTGTGCATCACATCTGCCCGCCTCCCACCATCTTCAGCTTGAGGCTGAGAACCCCCTCCGAATCTGGACCCTTATGCGGCGTGCCCCCATCATTCCCGCGGGTTCGGATAAATAATCTGAAAAGGGGTGGGACGTCGGGAAAAAAGAAGCATCCGGGAATGCGAAAGCGACCGAGATATAATCAGCAGACTGGTTAAGCTTATTTTCCCACATGGTCCAAATGGTGGGAGAAGGGGGAAATGGCCAATTAATATTTCGGATTCGCTGGACATTCGGACTCCGATGTTGATGCGTTAAGTGGAATTAGTGTGCTGACATATCGCTTTTGACAGGTACCATTCGGCTGCCACACTCAACACCATGAAGGCCTTTCGGATCGGCCGGAAACCTGCGGGTCCCTGGATCAACATGACACCACCAATTAGGGGCGGCGTCTACACCAAGCAAGAGACCACAACACCCGCATCTGCACCCAACGCTGCCGGTGCTACTGCAGATGATGCCACGGACGCTGCCGTCGACTGCCCCTCGTCCGATCTCGATGAAGATGACTCCGCCGACGATGCCGTCTCCGATGTATCTGGCGGGAGCTCCCGCACGTCCCTGACTTCCGAATGCAGCAGTGCAGAGGTCGAGACCAAGCCCGAGCCCCAGACTGAGACGGGCATTCGACGTCGTCTTGCTGCACCTGCAGACCCAACCGACGATGCCCTCGCCGCCGGCCCCGGTCTGTCGGGCCGGAGCCGCATGACCGCCGACCAGTACACCGAGTGGTCCATCCAACAGAACATCAACAAGGATCTCGACGAGTACCCTTCTCTCGACCCTGCCGTTCAGCGCGATATCCAGGAAAAGTACCGCCTGCTCCATGAGCGTATCAAGAATGCTGGTCTTTACGACTGCCCCTACTTGGACTATGGCAAGGAGATGTGCAGATACTCGACTCTGTTCGCCCTCTTCCTCACTGCTCTGCACTATGAGTGGTACATGACCTCGGCCTGCTTCTTGGGTCTCTTCTGGCATCAGATCATGTTCTCTGCCCACGACGCTGGACACGGAGCCATCACCCACAACTTTACCTTTGACACCCTCATTGGTCTCTTTGTTGCCGACTTCTGCTGCGGCCTTTCTATGGGATGGTGGAAGAGCAGTCACAATGTCCACCATCTCATTACCAACCAGCCTGTAAGTCTTCCATATTATCCATCACGTCTCGATCTACGTAACTAACACGTCCCAGGAGCACGATCCCGATATCCAGAACGTCCCTCTCTTCGCTACCTGCCCTTCTTTCTTCAAGTCCATCAAGTCGACTTACTACGACGGCTTCGTCTTCGTCTGGGATGCCGCTGCCGACGTTCTCGCCAAGTACCAGGCGTACACCTACTACCCCGTCATGGGCATCGCTCGCTTCAACCTCTACCTTCTCTCCTGGCTTCACGTCCTGTCCCGCAGATCTTCCTCCCTGGGTGCCTCCAAGGCCTGGTGGATTCGCCCGACTGAAATTGCCTTCATGGCCTGCTTCTGGTACATCTTTGGCTGGCGTCTGATTCTTAACACCCTTCCCACCTGGCCCATCCGCGTCGCCTTCGTCCTGGTCTCTCACATTATCACTATGCCTCTGCATGTTCAGATTACTCTGTCTCACTGGGGCATGTCCACCTCGGACCTTGGCGAGTCCGAGTCCTTTGCCCAGCGCCAGCTTCGCACCACCATGGACGTCGACTGCCCCGCCTGGTTGGATTTCATCCACGGCGGTCTCCAGTTCCAGGCCGTGCACCACCTCTTCCCGCGCGTCCCGCGGCACAATCTCCGCAAGGCGCAGGTCTTTGTCAAGGAGTTCTGCAAGGATACCGGCATCCCTTACTCCATCTTGGGTTTCGTTGACGGCAACAAAAAGGTCATTGGAAGACTCGAGGAGGTCAGCGATCAGCTACGTACACTTCTCAACTGCCAAAAGTTTATGGCGGAGACGGGCGAGAGCGCCCTGCATTAGACACAGCATCAATGCATTGTTTCGGCGTTGGAGGGTTAGTTTCATAGACTAGATAAAAGCTGTCTGCTGTCTTAATGTTCAACTGTTCATATATTCATTCTACGACATGACCTTACATATATTGTCAACTGTAGTGAAATTTCCATGGGTGACATCATGTTGACCACCGTACAATACGGTACGGTGCAGCAGTAACAACCCCTCAGACTATTTCCAGAACTGAAGAAACGGAACCACGTGGTGATCGAGATGACATTAACATCACCCAGATCGCTGGCTTTGGGGAACCTGCACACGCCAGAGAGTCTAAACTATTCTCCGTATGGAGTCCACTGATGTGATCACCCCCGGACTGACGACGTTGAGACGAAATTAAAGAATGGATTGTGGCCTGACCACCCTCCTAAGACCGGGTACGGACCGTACGGATGTAATATGCAAGGGGGAACACGGAAGCATATCCTGGCCTGGGCTTGGCTGGGGCTCAAGAGGAGGTGGAGGAAAGGGGGGGATGGGTAAATGGGGGATCGAAGATCGAGATATTCGGACTTTGGAGAGGAGATTGTTGAGTCCGAAGCTAAGGTAAGGTTGTGTTTTCTGGTGGATACGCCGGGGTAGCGCTGAGTAAGTGGTGCGGACTGCCGGTGCCGATTCCGGGAGGGCCGGGCTTGGGGTCGGGGAGATGGGTATATGTAATGCCTTGTTTACCCTTCTGTCTGTCTCTTTTCCTGTGTTTATTTAGGAATCCTACCTGAGATGCCCCATTCCTGGGTGTCCTGGGTTGAATTCATGGTCCCGGCTCTGGAGGGTTGACGGAACGCTTCGTCAAGCACCTACACCAACGCCCACTCCGCCAACTCGCCCTCGTCATCAGGCCACGCTTCTCCGTCCATGACCCCATCGACGACCGCATACCCGACGACTACATACCCCCCGCCCCCCCTCGACCGAACGACGAACGGGACATCTAGCCCCGAAAAGACGCAGATCTCATCTCCCGGCTGCGGCTCCGAAACGCAGAACCCGAAGTAGTTGTGAGCGGTGAGGAACATGCAGCCAGAGCCCATAGCCGCGGTGATGTTGCCCATCTTCAACCAGGCGGGCGGTGTCTGCGACGCTACTGCCTCTGCGAGTGCTGAAGGCGTGGAGACCGCGGCCAAGGAGGCGGCATCGGGTTGCGTTCGTGGGTTTGCGCGGAGGATGCGCACGAGGAGGGCTTGGGTGCTGCGAAAGGTTTGAAGTGCGTTTTCTTGAGTTTCTTTGCTTGCGTCGGTGGGCGGCGGTGACAAGATGTCTGCGAGGAAGGCCTGGGAGACACGTCTGGCGTCACCTACCCAGGCGATGAATTCTTCCTTCTTGTCTGCTAGCACAAAGGATAGGTCGAATAATGGGAGTTTGGGGCTGATCCTGTCGCCTACGCGCGCGACGCATCTGCCTTTGAGGTAGAGCGTGTGTGCGTCGGGTGAGAATCTGTAGGAGGGTTTGCTGCTGCGGGAGGAGGATGAGGAGACGTCGAGGAGGATTCTGCCGTCTGTGACTTGTTTGTTCCAGTTTAGGGCCCATGAGGGGAGGTCTGGGGCTGGAGGGGAAGTGTTTGTTTTCGTTGTTGATGTTGACGTTGCTTTTGATGTTGATGGCGAGGTGTCTCCTCCATCGAGGAGGAGGAGATGGGTGAGACTGTCCTGTCCCAGGATATGCTGCCTCGTCGCCTCACGGTAAACCTTTCCTACGGGATCCGTGTAGTCGACCGCTATTTTTCCAAAGGACTCTGGGAATATAGAGCGAAGCGCGTAGATTTTGTCACGGGGTTCCGTCGACTGTAGGTACAGTAGCATTCTGAGCTGGTAGACGTCCAACTTCCCGCGGCGCGCAGCAATCTCCGCCGCTCCTCGATGCTTGTCAGCATCTGCGGCATTCACAGCAACATCCGCAGTAGTAACGGTCGTAGTAGAAACGCCCGTGATGATTTTCCGACGCATGTTGATGGCGAGCTGGTTCGGGTCCGGGTGACTTTTATGGGCGTCGCCCCAGTTCTGGAGGATGGTGGAGAGGGCTTCGCCCCCGCCGTCGAGGCAGAGGATGAAGGCATTGCTGTAAGTTGCTTCCTGGAGGGTCCAGACGCGCAGCCAGTAGGGTGCGCGTTGGATTTTGGAGAGGAGGATTGGGTCTAGGTCTGTGATGGGGGCGTCAGTGAGAGGACGGGAGGTATTTTTTTCTGCAAAAGCGGTGTAAGTCAAGACGCAGGGTTGGATCTCCCACGCTTCAGATTTACGTTCTGCGGCGGCGCTCACCTCGTTCCTGATCGTCCTTCACCCTCGGAACACCCTTGTACAAGGCAAGCACCGAAGCAGGAGCCCACTCGTTGCCGAGCCAGACAAACACGTACTTTGCCTTTTCGTAGAGTTCCGCCATCATCCCGACCTGGACGCTCTTCTCGTCGTTGGAGG